TTGAACGTTCTTGTGTCGCTTGTTGGCCCATTTCATTCTGTAAACGATATTTTTAGTATTGATTTATTTAAAATTCATACCTTCCTATACACTACTCTTCTTATTGTCAGTTGGAATGGTTCGCTGAATACCTAACCGCTTGTTACTATCCGAACTAGACGAGGATTTCGGCTCTGCTCCGCCGCCAAGTCTACCTTTAGGCGGGGATGCTTTGGCTTTCGAAGAGGTCGGTTTAGATTTTGTCGGGGATGGTGATGCAACTTTTTTCTTCTTCTCGTCTATTGTGACCACTTTCTGTTTGCCTTTTTTCGCTTTCTGGCGTACTTTATTTTCGGGCTCGGATGAGGAATAGTAATCGAGTGATGTGGTTTCAATAATGGGGGCACTTTCCGATTCCTTGGTGGCACGCTTAGAGCAGGGAATGCATTTGGCAGCGGGTTGGCAGGCCAGTGACGACGTGGAAGTGGACGTCCGACGGTCTGGAAAGTTGAAATTATTAAATTAGAGCGGTTTTATTTTACTTTCTACGTTTGTGAGAACTACGTGGTTGTGTTGCAATGACCGATTTCGTATCAGGCTTAATAACAATCTCCTCATCGGCTGGTCTCTTTCTGCAGAGTAAGTAGTTACACCATGCAGGAAATCTGCGCTTTTTCTTCGGTGGCTTTGATTTTGGCTCGGTCTTTGGCCTTCGCCTACGATATCTCATTAGCATAGCGACAAGCAGAATGATCAGCAATATGAGCAGTATCAATCCGATAATGCAACATAGGTATTTTAGATAGTGCTTTTGTTGTTCCGATGATAATTTCAATAAGGACCCAGCTCCACCATGTTTTCCACCCTTCGTTTTACACTTTGGCTTTGTTGCTTTGGTATGCTGGACTTGTGGGTTTTGTTGAGTTTTAGGCTTTTCGCATATCTTTCTGCTCTGCAGTTGTCTATTAAGGTTATTATTATTGTTGTCATCGGCACTTTTCTCAAACCAACGTTTACCATTAATCATCGTTTGCCTGGCTTTCTCTTGCATCTTGTACTCTAAGGCTTTCTGTGCGAGTTCTATGTCGGAAAATCCATCATCGCTTTTACTCTCACCACTGCTAATGGTGTTACCTTGACGCATATTGTCTTCGATTCGGCGATCGATGGCTTTGTCTTTTTCAAAATCCAGTGCTTTCCTGCCTTTTCTCAATTTCTCAACAATCCGTAACACTCCTCCAAGACCGGGATAAAATTCTTCGTCGGAGAGGTGTGGTTTTATGTTATCATTTAACCAAGCTATGAACTTGTAATTGAAAGCATCCTGTGGCATTGACTGTGATTGGTAGCAACGCGTCACCGTTTCATAGAATCGAATAATTGCGTAAGCAGATTTTTGCGATCTAAGGTCATAGTTTCGCCTTTTCCGAAATGGTAGCCAAATGTTACTTAAACCGGTTTCAACACAGTCTGCTTCTAATTTTGGCATGGACACCAGCATAATATTTTCGTCACCGTCATTTGTTGGTAACATTTCGAGGCGTGCGCAACCGGTCGGACCGCTACCACCACCATTGCCGTCGCCACTGCACTCTGAGCCCCTTAGAGGATCCACACGAACGTTATCCAGTTCTTCGAGTAAAATAGGCATTTTCCAGCCATTACCATTCGTGTTTAAAAAGGACTTGCATTGTTGATACAGCTCTGCAACACTGCTGACCACTTTGAGACTCGCTTTGCCGCCATAATAAGAATACTTGGCTACTGGTAGTAAGTAGGATCTCAAGTAACCACCGAGCATATCGTAATAGGCCCTCTCCATCACCTTCCTCGATGAATCGGGCAATCTTTGTATCAGTTCATTGCCATTATAAAAGTAATTCAACAACATGTTTAACATTTCATCATTGAGCAAACATTTTGGCAGATCTTTAGGTACAAGATACTAAAAGGAAAAAGAAATTCGGATATATTTAAAAAATAAACTTACATACGTACAATTCATACACTATACTTGCCTCGAAATCTCTACGTGCTGATAGTAAATTTAAATCTTCTGGCGAAAAACATTTCTTTCGCGTGCTATCAAAAAGGTTTGAACCNGACTTACATACGTACAATTCATACACTATACTTGCCTCGAAATCTCTACGTGCTGATAGTAAATTTAAGTCTTCTGGCGAAAAACATTTCTTTCGCGTGCTATCAAAAAGGTTTGAACCAACGAAGTCATCCAATTCCATATCAGCCTGTTCCTCATCTTCGACTTTGCGTGAAAATTTAAACTTTCTTGCTGGCTTTTCGTCCACGTCAGAAATAAGCGGAGCCAATTTGCATGTATTATCGTCATTGACTTGATCTTGATCCTTAAGCACATGAAAGTTCATTATTCCCTGGTTGAATTCGGAGTTGAGATCGGCAGCAAGCTTAAGACCATTGGCGAACTGACTTGGCTGCTCGACTGTTTTCAAATCAAAATCATAAACGGGACAACCGCCAGGGCAAAGCAACATTAGCAGCACTAAAGATATACCGATTTTCATTTTTTATATCAAATATTTTTTTATTATTATTTTCCATGTACTTTCATGCTGATGAAGATTGCTACAAAATCAAAGACAACACGATCAATCAAATGGTGTACATATTTTAAGTTTTCAAGCTTCTTTAAGTTTGTCTTTAATTATACATACTTTTCGATTTTGAATGTTTTGAGTTGCAAAATTATTGTATGTATGTGGGTGTGTTCGAGCTTCGTAATAATTACGGCAATGTTACAACCTTGCTGCTTTCTTAATGCTC